AATTATCCAAGAAAGAACAAGAGAACAGCCAGAAAAACAGAGCTTTTGTTTGAAATCTTAATTTCAACTCATAAACTGCAATACTTCTACCTCTTTTTTTTATTGTAGTTAAATATGAAAAAAAAAAATCACCATCACATATGATTCACATCATGAGCACAATCCCTTCAATCATAAACTTCAGGAACTCTCACAACGGCTGTGAGTTTTTGTGGCCAAATTTTATCTGGCATAGTTGTTTGATGAGCGATTGGATTCCTGTACTGTTTCTGGGCTCTCCCACACTCAAATGTTCATCTGATGGTGCAATCCTGTTTAAAAATTGCCCACATGAGCAAAAAGTTTATAAGACACCCCTGATGGCTATTCCCTCTGATATATTCCTTCCACATGCACAGTGAACTTTGCTACATGGACAGACATCAAGGAAAAGTATGGCAAGCACTATAGAGCAATGGGAAGGTGGCCCCCACTTGGCTGATGTGTACAAATTTTCTGTGTGTATGTGGTATTGGCAGGAATTGCGTGTAGGAATTCTTGGGGCAAGATGTCTGAGACATATGAAAGCTCCTTGGGCCTCAGTGTCCTTATCTGTAAAATGGGAGCACTGGGCTCCATCTCTCAGGCTCCTGCCAGCCCTGGCATGACTGGACTGTAGAGGACAAGTTGTCTTGCCTGTGGTGGGAGAAAACTCTCTCTCCAGGTGATTCTGTGACAACGAAGCATAGCCATAGGATTGGATGGTTAGGAGGGAAGCAAACTTGTTCACACAGAGTTGGTAAATGCATAATGGATATATACTACTAACAGGAATAACAGCAGCTCATACTTACTGAGCTTTTGCTATGTTCCAGGCACCATTCTAGGCACTTGATGTGCATCACTGCCTTATGATAACCCATGAGGCAGATCCTTTTAGTATCCTCATTTTTATAGATGAGGAAATGGAGGCACAAAGAAGTGAAAATACCCAAGGCACATAGCTAATAAGCGGTGGAAGCTAGGATTCGAACCCAGAGAGCCTGACTGGTTGCCCCCAATTGCAACTATGGAGCCATATACGACACCTCATAGGGGTGTCGTAAAGGTACACGAGATGATGTGTGCAAGTTCCTACCCCAATGTCTGGCACAGAGAAGGTGCTCAATAAACAGTAGAGTGGGGCAAATGGTTAACGTGTTCAGCTGCTAACTGAAAAGTTGGAGGTTCAAGTCCACCCAAAGGCATCTTGGAAGAAAGGCCTGGTAATCTACTTCTGAAATATCAGCCACTGAAAACCCTA